TTTCTGACAAGTCAGGCGAAGGGGAAAAGTGTCGAGATACGAGATGCTGGAAGGAGAGGAGCAGTTGCAATATTAAAATTAACTTCCCTGTAGATGAATTTCTCTTCAATTTTGATTTTAAAGTAATATACTTCAAAGCATAATCTGTAATCCTGTTAACGGCAAAGACTATTTTTACGAGGACTCATAGGTGGACTCTGACGCTACGCTTTTACTCTACTAAAGACCATAATCGTGTTCAGGCTGTCAGCATGGTATGAAAGCCTCTCTGCGCAGGTCAAATTGAAGCTCACTCATTTAAGTGAGACTGCAGTGAAGGTTTTAGGAGAACTTAAAGTCCCCCAACTTAAACAGGTTCATTTAAAAACTCTATTGTGCCCAACAGGATCAGGATTCTTGAGGTTGTATGACTTGTGCAACAATATCTTTTAGTATTTTCTCTCTGTTTGCTCTTCTGTGTGGATCTTGTGCAATATGTGTATTGTGCAAACTAATATTATTTGTGGTTTCCTTTTGTAAGTGTTTCTGTGTGACTGGCACGTTCGGCACTTCAGTCCAAGACAACAAGGAGACAATAAAGTGTATTGCATTGTATCGACCGATATTGTTTAAATCATATATCATATTCCGTTGTATCACATCACATCCTAATTTATCGAATCGTAACAAATCGTACCTTTTGTGTTGTATCACATCTGAAGTATTGTATTGTATTGCACTGTATTAAATCATATCTTACTATAACATACTGTATGTAATCATATCTGACATATTGCCTCATATGTAAGGTACAATATATTATTTTGAATTGCATCGATTTTGGCGTATCATATAATATTGTATCACGTGTGAGAAATACTATTTCTAGTTCTGACATAGCGTATTTCATTGAGTTGTACTGTTTTGAACCATATTTTATCTTATCACTTAGCACTGTATTGTATCTGGCATATCATATCTGATGTATCTGATGTGCTGTATCACCTCTAACCTGTTATCTTGTATTGTAAATAAATATATTTGTTAAATTTTAAGGACATTTTGATTTTTTTGGTTTTCAGTAGTAAGTAAAATAAACATTTCAGCTCCAAAAAAATCTGTCATTAAAGGGTTAATCTGATCATATTTTACCAAACTGTGTCATTGCTTATCTGCTGGACCTTGTTGAATCTGACATATGTTATCATATTATTGTATTGTGGTCTCCCTGTGCTGTATTTGATTTTTGCAAGAGTGTTTTAAATCTTTTGTGAAAATAGTAAAAGACTTGAGACAAGAGACTACAGACCATAGAACTCTTCTTCTTCTTTTCAAGCTGAGAAGTAAATTCTTCTTCACTGAAGTTTAAGAATTTGAACTACTTTGTTAAAATAGTCAAATTGACAATAGAGATGTGCTACAGAAGTTATGAATGATATGCTCAAAAAAAAGCAACATGCCAAAAAATGTGCCACCCACTTTAAATGATCCCAAAATTCGCTCACAAGTTGTCTGTCACTGAAAAGAAGTTCATTGAAAACATGTTTTTGCAAAGAGTCACTTTAATTCTAAAATATCAAAAGAACTTGAATGCTATCAAATACCTATACCAGGTTAGTTTTACGAGTTATCATTTAAGAGTAGAGTCAATCAGTTTTACGGGTGAAATCCTTGATACACCCAAGACTTTCACCTTGAAACAGTTAAGTAATGAAATGTTCGACTTGAAACTGTCTTTTCTTATTTAGCCCTAAAAACTGAAAGTACTCTAAAAGTGCTTTGATATTGTTTCCCTTGGGGATGAAAAGTTTGGACAATTTTGAGGGTCTGTGACTAACATTGCCATTATGATGAGAATATCTGAGATAGTGGAGTGGTGAGGCCCAATTTCATATTTTATAAAGGAACCCAAGATCAATGGCAGCACCCTTGATGACGCCAATACAATATATTGATTGTGAACAAGTTAACTATCACAAAATGCTGTTCTATGCTTAAATAATTCGAAGTTTTTAACTCCTTATTACTGATATCGATTTAACCGAGGTGAAATATCAGGAAATGCTCCAGCCGTTGCACAAATCAACCACTGCACATTTCAACACATCAGGTGGTTGATTTTAATTGATAGTGTCTGGAAGCAAAATCCTCTTGATTCCTTCGTGATATCCTCTCATGCAGCAACTTATTAATTTAATACATTAATAACACACATTAATGCATTTTTATCTCCATTCAGGTGTAATCTTTCGACTGCTCGGCTCTGTTTCACTCCGGGTTGTGAAAGGCCTGTGATCCTCCTGCAGTGAGGAGGACTGTCTCTGCATGTTGCCACCAGAGGGAGTCTTTTCAGTCAGATAATAGCACCCAAAGGAGTTGACTCTGTCCTCTCAACATCTGCTCAAAATTCACATCTCTCTGACTCAAACCTAAGTAATAGGGATATTAATGCTTTGTTTATGTTGTTTTCTTCGTGCATTGCTCTGTTAATCAAAGTGACTGACTGACAGATATTTAACATGACGCCAGTTCAGTATTATTAGTCATTATTAGTCATGCAATGGTATTTTTTATCCATGCAGCTGGAAAGCCATTTCTCGTCTGTTTGGCTTTATAGGGCTTACTGTTGTGGTGAAGCACATCACTGGTGGGGCAATGCCCAGTGTTGCAAGCGGCAGGAACCAGTCTAGCCCGGGCTGCAGGCCTATAAAAGGCCATTACACTTGGTTCCTTTTAGTTTTCTACACAACAGCTACACGTGTTGAGCTCAGAGTTGAAGCCCGTCCCATTCCATGCAGATCCATGCTGGAGAAGGAGGAGGAGGCGTGGAGCCCTTTTGTTACCTGTGTCAGCGCACCTGGCTGTTGAAAGTTAGTTACAGGGACTGAGTTTCAGATGCCTTTAGATAATAGAAACAGTGTTACGCAAAAGCTTTGAACGAAACAGGGCTGGCAGGTCACTGCTGCGCGACTTTTCCTACCTGCAAGGCGCAGCGAATGTGAATGTTAATTAGGCTCCACCGTGAAAGTAAGGACGAATAGGAGGCACTTCCTCCAAGAACTCATTCACCTTCCAAGTCCGACCCTCTCTCAAGTTTCATTTTGGACTCCTCAGCCACCTTTCAGCTCGTCATCAGCATCTCACCTGTGCGGCCGGAGCATGGATTTCACACGGTCGAAGATTTCCAACGCGCTTCAGCTCCATGTCGCGGAAAATAGGCGCTCTACGTGCATCTGGAAGGGTTAGGAAAGCTGCCAATGTGAACGGAACGCGTGACCACTTCATGTTACAGTGCATGGCCTCTGGACAAAGTGGGTACGATCATGCACAAACCCCTCCGAAAGCGGAGTCTCTACGTGTTGCTGTGTTTTGGCATCGTTTACCTCAGGCTTGGGTGAGTTTTTGTTACCTGTGTTTACCAGCGTGCACCTGGGTATCTGATATCTCTTTGGTTATTTAACTCTTTCCGATTTACACAAGATTAAAATAACCAGTTTTCAACAGGTGGATTTTGAAAAAAAAGTACGATGTTTTGTTACATCCAAACTCACGCAGCCGATTACGCAGAGCGCGTAAAAGTGCCATATCAGATCTCCAGCCAACACACAACCTAATCGATTCCTGTTCGCTGTCAAGAGGACGTTTCAGTTCACCTCATGAGACTCCAACTCCTTTTGTGGCACAAGATCATTTGAGCCGCTGTCTGTGCTGCAGATCCAGCTCAGCCCTGCATACCTTCATTAATAGCGGCAGGCTGAGTTGCATTTCCACATTCCATCGGCGCAGACGGAGTTTTTACCTGTTTTGCAATCGCTCACCTTGATGCATACACAAACTCAAGGACTTTAGTGTAATCTATGCTGCCCTAGAAAGCAGAGCCGCCTACGCACGATCATTTCAGACACACACATTGGGATCATAAGGAAATTAGTCTCATGAGAATGGATGTGAGAAGCTTTGCTGTGGTTTTCATTTTTTTCTTCAGAGAGAAGGGGATAGGAAAGAGTTAATTGAACTATTTTAAAGTTTTTGACTTTTTCTTCCACGTTTATGAATTTTCAATGTTAAAGGGCTTTCTTTTCATGAACCCTGTGTTTCTTTCTGTTTTAAGGGAGTAAAGCAAAGCCAATTACGCATGAAATATTTAAGTTATAAGCCCAAAATCAACTCCACATACCACCAGTGTTTCTGTAAAATAGATGAGGAACTTAAATGCACCTGAACTGATTTTAAAGAACTTTTATAGATTCTTTAAAGCCACAAGGAACCAGACAAAAGCAAAGTGTGAGCCCTCCCTGTGAGGACCTCATGTGGAGTGAAGCGTGGAGCTGACAGATGCTCATATCACATGACAGCAGCTCCGGTATATGGGGGTGAAAGTCACCCATCTCCTGTGTTTACTGAGCAAGTTCGCTCATTCCCCCATTCCTTTGAGTGTGCTCTTCATCTGTCATGGCACCCTGTTCATTCACACAGACTGCAGCCTGCAGGTGTTGAGTGAGAGTCACGATGCTGAGGCGATAAAAAAGCTCATCGACTCACTTCAAATCTCCCAAATGATTTGATTTCCCAGCGAACAAGAGTGAGAGTTTTTCAACCTCTGATCAAGTGCAACATCAGGGTGTTAAAATGTACATTTGGTTATTATTGTGAGATTCTATCAGAGCGCAGCAGACGTGCAGACAGAGCAGAAACATTATAGACGCCTACAGGAATATTATAGCACGACCACAGGAAATAATAAGGCCACTGAAGCTCATATATGAACACCACAAACATACTTTATGTCTCTTAGGAAATATTTTAGGAAAACGTGTTTCCAGAGGATATAGATCCCGAGATTTTAACAGGATAATCTCAGGGAATTATCCTAATAATGACACATAATGCTCACTCTCTGTATCCGTCTTCATACGCTTTTGTGCGTAAATCTGACACCAACTTGTTGATCCAGAATGACGCATCCTGCCAGAGAAATGTGCAGATTTTTGTTTGCGCATGGATGAAGCTGTGATAATGGTGTGAGGCTCGAGCAGCCAGCGTCTCTGTTTGTTTATTTTTGGCTGGGTGGACGGTGGGGCAGAGCGGTGGAAGTGGAAGAGGGGCTGGGTGGCTGATAATGAATGAAAACCTCCTGCACGTCCAACGGGGATCAGATCGGTGTCACCCTATTGTCCCACTGTGGCAAAGTGGGCGGATAGCAGTGTCTCTGGCTGCCCAATGGCAGGCACGACTCTCATGAGAGTGGAGAGAGGCACTTTTCTGCCATGCGAAATCCCTAAAACCATCATCATTCCGGCTCGGGAGCCCACAGTACTGTGTAACAGCCTCCGCCGCTCAGAGATGTCAGAGCCAATCTCAGCGCACACACGGCCCTGGGAGCTTGGAGCTGCGTAGAGACGGGGGAGACGCACAGCACATCTTCTTCATTTTGTGCGGGAAAAAGGACTTAAAAGCAGGAATTAAGGAGTTTGTTTTTTCATCCTGTCTGCGCCGAAGATCGTGGCCATTTGCTCAATGTCATCATGATCATCTTCTCGTCGCGCAGTGTGCTGCTATCAGTCTATTACCCACAGATCTTCCTCATCCTGACGAGTGGCAGCTACCTGTAAGTTCGAGCCAATTAACGAGCTCCTTAATTAACTTCAGAGAGAGAGAGCGCGCGCTTCTCCTCTGCAGCACAAAGACGCACGGCTTTGGTTTTCCTTACCGTACACAACGAGCTTTAATCCTTTTTCCTCATCACTGAGTCCAGTTTATGAGACAGTTTCTTCATTTCTACGTTTCAGAATAGATTCAAAGTTGTGTCCGCTCATCTAAGAGGGAGCAGTTGCAGCGAAAGTAGCGTGAAATCTAAGCTGTAAATGTGATCAAATTCTAGGATTATTTTCCCCCAAAAAACTTCTACATGTTATGCAAGCCTAAAACTCCTCAGTGGAAACCACGCCGGGGAATAATCGAGGAGGGAATAAATCGATTAGGTTCGATAAAGTGCCGATGAGGATGCCTTACGAGCCAGCTGTGATGGTTTGCATTTAGCTCTTGTATTTCACATTTTTGGAGGAAAATGTTCAAGTATCAGCTACAGAGATTCATTTTGGCCACAGAGTGGCAGAGATGTTCAAGACAACCGGATGCTGAGACTCCTGAGAGGAGAATTAACACTTTAACCTGGAGACTTTTTACGCATGCGAGCACCGTTAACCTGTCAGAGCGTGTGAGCGATCATCTCTGCGCATTACCTCATCTCTGGGTCATTCTCACTATTTCGATGTTATCATTTGAACCCACATCTTTAACATTTCTGCCAGCAACATGCACGTGATTGACGCTCTAATGCGCTGCGGCTTCGAAATCAAACGAGAATTGCTCTTGCAGGAGAACACTGGCTTTCTGAGAGCTTCCAAAATAATTACTCAGCCATGCTGCCTCGCTCCTTCCTCTGCTGCCCGGAGACCCCAAACCTGATGCTGAAATAGATGTGGTTTTTGGTTTTCTGTTAAAAGTGGCCTACACTGCTAAGTATAGTGATGGCGTGCAGATTAAAACATAGCATTGTTTGTTTGGATTATTGAAGTATGTCTTCTGTTCGGCATTAACCACAGAATAGGTTTCGTGAAGCATATTTTAGAAGTGGAAATAATGCAACAAGGCTTCAGAGCTGCAGGACTCGTGTTTTGGATGTCAGACTGTAACATTTGTGGAGCTGTGGGTGGCAAATGAGCCGTCAGCAAAAGGATCTCACCATGCAGAGATTTCAGACTATTGCACTCCTCAAACTCATTTTACATTTTGTGCTTAAAGGGCAGTAATCTGACCACCTTCACTCTGTTGTTGATGTCCCACTGCAGACTTGTGCAGAATGAGATTAGAAAGCATTTCCTTAAATAGATTCATTTTCAGCTCTTGGAAAAAAAGAGGAGCGTTTATCCGGTTGAATAAGTAAAGTTGTGTCTCAGACATTTTTGTCAGATGCACGCCTGAGAGCATAACAGTGTGTCACTTATGTTCAAAGTGTTCATGTTATGGAGTATAGGTGGCTGTCAGCACATTTAAACACTTCAACAGCCCAAAAGACCAGATGACCCATCTGATATTTTGTAGTTTTGTTAAATATTATGATATTAAACAGGCAAAATTCTCTTTTAACTTTGACGCTTTAATTTGGATGTGAGGGGAGACTTGCTTTTCTGTAACCGGCCTGTAAAACATAAACTGAAAAGTATGTAAGCTTTAACGGTGAAGCTGCAATCCCTACAGAAACTGCCCTCTAGATTCAAAGATTAACTAAACTTAAGGAAATGCACCTTACAGGCCTGTTTCAGCAAAATATGAAGCCACCTGTTGCCTAGAGTCTCCTCCACCTGTGCACCACAGCTGTGATCACAAACACATGCTGTTGGAAAACAAAAAACAAAAAAACTGGAAGGCTGTGTAAAATGTTGTTTAAAGAGAATTTAGTGATTTGCATATTTTTACAGTCAACAGTCATCAGAAATAGTGTAAAGACAACAAATCAGATGTTGAAACTAGTAAATGTAACTGTGTGATTAAAAATATTGACTCGTTTTTAATGTGATGCCCAAAACACGTTTCAAAACAATTAGGAGAAGAAAAACAAAACACTGGAAAAGTTGTAAAACCCTGAAAAAAACAAACCTGAAACAACATCTTGTAACTAATTACTTATAAATTTAGTAACATGTCTGAGTATAAAAGGCACCTGAGTCTGAGTGTCTCAGAAGTAAGAGACACTGAGACTGGATGAGGAAATAGTTGAGGAATTTGAGAATAATGTTAGAATAAAGCTTGAAACTGCAAAGAATAGAAGTTTTCATCATCAAGTAAAAGGTTTTAGAGAATCTGGAGAAATCTCTGTACCAAAGGGTCAGGGCTAAAAACTGATACTGGATGGCATTAAAAACAGGCATGACTCCGCAGTGGGAATCCCTGCATGGGTTCATATTTACATCTAAAAACCACAATCTGTATGTCATGAACTTGATCTCTTTAGTTCTCAGATATTTACAGTGTCACTGAAACAAGAAGTGATGCAACACAACAGCAAACATGCTGCTGACATCAACTTAAAATGAGTTTCAACATTTGATATGTTGTCTATTCACAATTTTCAATAAAATACAGACTTTAAATGATTTGCAGGTTATCAAATTCTGCTTTTATCAACATCTTAGACTCACAGAATTAGGGCTTTAGATGGTATAAGCAGCCAGTTTAAACCCATCACCCTCTGCATCAGCTTCTACATGGATTAACTCACAAATCCTACTCCTTTATTTTATTTTTTTGCATGAACTTATTATTATTTCTGTTAATCGTAGCAACTATGAAACAAATTAGCAATATTTTCTAGTCTTGTTTGAGTTTCTTTTGTGCGTCTGTCTGATGGTCAGTTTGTGACTCTGGGTAATGTGCCTCCAAGCTGAAGCTGCACACACACACTCACTCACACACACACATACACACACAGCACATGCTAAGCAAACAGAATCGCATTTGTGCACTTTGATGATTTCAGGGCTTTAAAAGCTTAGCTGTGGAATTCTCTGTTTGCTGTTGTCTAAGGTTTGCGTCGCTCGCCGTCGTCGACTGTGTTTCCATTAATAAGCAGGTGGACGACATGAGAAAGTGCCAGGAGAGGAAGCCTGTTTGTTTAACTTGAAAACATCATTGTGCTCGAGTGTTCACTTTAAAGCGCTGCACTGACACATCAGAGATATAAATAACTCAAATGCATTTTTATTGCCTTTGGATATAAACACACAAACCAGTTTCACTCCCTTTTTAACATTCGTTGTGCAAGACTGAATTTGTCTCCAGTTGCACATAACTCGTCTTAATGAGCCTGTCCTTTTTTGTTGGTACAGACTTCGTATCATTGTTGCCATGAACAACCGCATATACAGCAGAGGGTCATGGAGGGTCAAAGGAGTTCAAGCTTGTTTAACAGCACAGAGAGCAAAGAGGGTCTCAGAGCAGCAGCAGCAGACCGGAGTGTTTACTGCAGACGCTCACTGCACCTGATGTATTTCTGTCGTCTATATTTTAGATGTTTACAAAGTTATGATGCTGAAAAATGAATAATACTCTTCGTCTAAGTTTGCGGTATGCATTTACAGGATCATGTTTCCTGCATTAGAAAGAAAAAATCAGCTGCCTCTTGTAATTTTGAGTGCAAGGTTTGCAAAATTTACATATAAACAACGGCACTTTAACCAAAGTATGTTGCCCTGACTGCAGAGGGAACATGAGGAGAATGTGTGCGGTCCTCAGTCTGCTGACAGATACTGGACTCGCTGACGTTAAGATTTATTTGAACTTGTTTATTTGTTGCTGAGATTTGTTCTTCTGCCTTCTTCAGAGAAAGTTTAAAGAGTCACTGAAAAAAAGAAAAAGGAATATGGTTTTCTGAGAGCCATCAGCAATCAAAGATCGCATCTTTGTTCTTAGTCTGGGGTCTCCTTTAAAAATCCTTGTCATGCAGATTTCTCAGAGATCATTGTTTCAGTTTCTCTTCTTCCTCCCTGTCTCTGCAGTTCTGACTTTTTCCTCTTTATTTTGCCATCTCTTCTCCTGAACACAACTCGCTGTCGTTAGTTTGCCCCGTTTGTGGTGAACCCTTTGGAGGTCTACGTCATACTTCAAAGCCAGCGCTCATTTCTGGCTCTCTGTCCCTGACATGTTTGAAAAGTATGTATCTACATGGTTTCCAGGGCTATAAACAGAGCCATGGAGGAACTTAGCGCTTTGTTTCGCTGTAATCTGTTTTGGCTTTCTCAGTGGTTGCAGAGCCATCTCTTAACATTTGTTATGATATTATCACATGAAGTGATCAAGCTGGAGAAAGATATGTGTCATTGACTGTGCAGCACGTTAGTATCCTACAAATTAAAGTGACCGGTGTTGGAAAACGTGCATATTTTCCATGCAAACCAATCTTAGGATGTGGTTTGAAAAAAAGTAGTCCCTCATGAGTTTTACAGGCAGCACTTTACACCCTGAATAACTATAAACACAGTTACACAAATTATACGGAATAAAATTTCGTGCGACATTTGGTTATAGAGTGAACCCTGCATTTATATCTCAAAATACTGAGCAAGTGTATTTTCTCTATGTGTGTGTGTGTGTGCAGGAGTGAAGTCTGACATCCTTAATCAATTAAGACAGAAAACACTTTTCACTTATTAGTCTTACACCATTCAAATCGATGTGCAGAGGCTTTTTAATGCAGCAAATTAGCACTTTGTTTTCTCTCTCTGGGATTCTTTCCTCTGCCATTTCCCCTCCATGTACATTGAAGTTAAATTAATCACAGTATGCAAAAGCAGAATAGGTGTTTATTAATGGGAGTGTAGGGTATTTTTATTTCTACTGTGAGTGCAAAAAGTTGAAAAGAAAAAAAATCTACTAAAACACTAAACACATCAGTATTTCTACTTTCGATAACTTTGATATCTGTAGGCCATTCATGGTATAGATCTAGGTTTTCGGTTTTCAGTGAGTGTTCAAATAAAATTGTGTCGTGCCTAGGGTTAGTTAGGACCATATTCTGAATCCCCAAAAAAGAGGACACGGAGTCACAGAGACGCGTGCAGCCATCAGACTTTACAACTCTTCTGTAAATTGTACATGACTTTTTGACACATTACAACTGAGGCTACAGACAATTGAATTTCCCTCTGGGGATAAAATAAAGTTATTCTTATTCTTGGTAAATTTTGAGAGTTTTTTGGGTCAGGTCGAGTGTTTTTTATGCGCTTCTAACTCAGTAAGTCCACGCGACACAAACTCAAAACTTGTTACAAACCTCTTTCAAATGCTTTCTACAATTTGCATGCTGGCAATCAGAAAAAAAAGTCCCTGAAGTTTTGGAATCAGCTCAGAGCTCTGCTGTTGCTGTGAGACAGGTGTGTGTCCAGAAGGTTGACAAGGGGTGGCACTAGCCCCCTTAAAATCTGAATGCTACTCCAGGTGCCAACTAAAAATCCTGAACTCTCATCAGCTATTTGATTTGTCAGAGGCAGGAATTAAGTTGAAATCAACCATTTTGGAAAGCATTAAGAGGCTGGCAGTAAATTTGGTTGTCTTTAAATTTTGTTGGTACTTTTTATAGTGAGTATCATCTTTTGAAGTCCTCAAGTTTGCAAGTCTGCAAAATATAAGAAATGATACATGTGTGTGTGCACACTGGCCACCCCAGCTGGTATCAGTGCCCCTGCAGGGTCAAAAAATTGCGGAAACACCCCTGCTGCGATGGATTAAACTGCCAAAAATGACCAAAAACATGCCAGATATTCCAAGGACAGGTCGGCCGTGATTGTCCCTCACGCCTCATGTACACTACACAGGAAAGAGCAAGCAAACAGTCTGACACCCAATTTCGTTGGACCCAAAGTTGACCCAAAAACAGGTACTGTAAAAAAGTTCTGAACAGCAGAAAGTCAGGGACTGTAGTCAAATCACATCATCATCATTAAACACTGCGAAATGTCAGTTTTTCCTCATGTTCCCTGATTCACCTCTAATCCTTTAAACAGTAAATCTTGGTGCAGAGCAGCTTTCACTTTGGGACAGAACATGCATCAATCACTGTCTGAACTGAATCCTGTTGTGGAAAGACTCACAGAAATGAGTCAGCCAGACCATCCTGTGGAAGATGTGACAAAGTCTTTGTTTGTGTGTTTGTCTGTGAACTACAGACATACGTGCCCATGTGTTGTTTTCATGCATAAATTGATTGATGTATTTGCATGTGTCTCTCACCTTGGCAGGGCCCTGTCTTCGGTGGTGGCTCTGGGTGCCAACATCATCTGCAACAAGATTCCTGGGCTGGCACCTCGCCAGCGGGCCATCTGCCAGAGCCGCCCAGACGCCATCATTGTTGTGGGCGAAGGGGCTCAAATGGGCATCAATGAGTGTCAATACCAGTTCCGGTACGGGCGCTGGAACTGTTCGGCGCTGGGAGAGAGGACGGTCTTCGGTCAGGAGCTGCGAGTAGGTCAGTCTGGGTTCAACCGAAAATGAGAAAACCACAGTCAGCATCTATGTTTTCATTTTTCTGTTGTGTGTATCTACACCTTTATGGCTGAACTTTTGAGCACCTTTCTGAGCTGCTGGGTCAGAATATATTTCAAAAAAGAGAAGCCAGCTCTGCAAGTTATAGTACAATTTAGTTGAACTTATTTGAGGGTTTTACAAAGACTAGTCAGTCATGATTCTCAGGGTTAGATCGGATGAAATGGTTAATTTTCCTGTAAACATCCTCAACTCTGCAAGTTTCCCTGCTTTCCCTGAAATATGTGCTGTATAGTGGAGCTTTTCGCAAACTCTTGAACAAAAGAAGAAACATAAGCGTAAATTGGGCCCCATTGTCTCTGTGTTATTTAGGTTAGGATAAAGTAAGTTTTACTTATAAAGAGCTTAAAACTGAAAAAAGCGATAAAACCATGAAAAGGTTATGACACAGGACTTGTGATTGGTTGAGTAATACTTAAAGCTCCTGTGAGGAGTTTTTTTTAACATTAATGAAACAGACTGAAATTCAGACTGATGTCTTACTGTGATATACAAAACCATCGGCAACAAGACTAAGAATTTTTATTTGTAATTAATTAATACCTGAAAGTGGTGCAAAGGGGTAGGTGTTAGTGAAGCAGCTGAAGAAACAGTCCTGATTTTAAAATTTACTTGATGATAAATAATAGAAATGTCTGTGAAAAGTAAACAGGATAAGATTTTGTCAGAAGGGACTACTAAGGCTAAGTTAAGACCTCTTTGTCAACAGAGGGCACCAAAATTGAGGAAAACCTGAAGTTCCTCACAGGAGCTTTAGATTAGATTTGGTTGGATTTTCCTTGATTCATCCCTCAGTGGGGAAATTAAGTCGTCGTTAACAGCAGCGGTACACAACATACACATTCATAACGGGTACAAAAAACAAATAAATAAGATAAAGAACTACGGTAAAAAACAAAGAGCAGTGCAATCGAAGAACAGTATTCAAGGCAAGAATAAGAAATATATAAAAGAAAAAAAAAGATCAGAACTTGAACTGTCATCAAAATAGAAAAAGTCTTTAAACACATGAAGAATTCAGGAAAATTTGTAAGATTAGTAATAGCTCTGGACTAGCCCGTGTCTTTTTTTTCCCAGTTGATCTTTAAATGTAATTGAACCCAGAAAATTGGGATTTTGTGTGTTTGTGGGATGCAAAACGGAGGATGTTTTTGGTTGTCATTTGGTTATAATAATGGAGTTGACGATGATAATACCAGTGAATTTCCTATCGAAGAGGGAACGGCGGTTACGTAACTCGTGTTTGGAGCCATGTTATTGTCTTACTTTTAAGTAAGAGTGCAACGAGTGGATCACAAATGTGGTACCAGCACCCGGCCCTCTGAGCCCCATGAAATACGGCTCTTTACAAGCCAAACCCAAGCCGCACACATCACACAGTCAAAATTCAAACCAGCAAGTCTCTTTGACTCTCTATTGTATAACCATTTTTGTTGGCATTGATCAAGGGAACTGCATATACTGCTGATTCCAGGCTGTCTTAGTTGTACTCTCTTTTGTCAATATTCCTGTTTCTTCAGCGTACTCTGGTTTCTGTTGATGAATGCTAGTCTACCGCTAAGCATTACTAGTTACTATACAGTTACAGAAAAGTATCAAACGGCCTCTACAGGGGGAGTGTATGGTTGAAAGATGGAAGCAAATGAGGACAAAGCTATCGTTGATACTGCAGAAAACAATGCAAACCAAAATGTAGGACACATATGTTGTTTATAGGGCAAGATTTGCCGTGTCCTCGGCTGTCTGTCTCCAAAGAGTGAGCGCATACATGCAGAAAAAAGCAGACAAACATTTACATTTACGATGCTTTGTTCGAGAGGCTTGTTACAAACCTCTTTCGCATCGCCTTTTGCTTTTACTAGGACTTTTATGTATTTCCTTTCATTTAGAAGATGCTTTGTTGCCATTATGTTGCGGTTGGGCTGTGCATTTAATCCAGTGGCTCTGTTAACAATCACCCCTCTTAAGGAGTAGCTGAATTAGCTCCAGCTCCTTCTACAAAAGCATTTTCTCTTTGTTGTGAAGGTGGTGCTTTCTTTTGTAATGGACTTCAAGTTGTTTTCCTCAAAACTCGACATGTCCTTACTTCTTTTTTTCATTCTGTTCTTTCATGTACTCCTAAACAGCCGGAGATTAAGGGATGAAATTGCTCATCAAAGGCATCTGTGTGTCTATTTTTGAAGGCCTGATGTTTGTGGTTGCTAACTGCTTTGCTAAACCGTTTACCCAAAGTAGATTTTGAGATAAAAGAGAGAAAAATGAAAACGTATACATCCCTTGAAATCTGCTGGAGGTTTATAAACTCATCTTGTGTATTGAATGTACAACTTCAATATAAAAAATGTGGATACGAAGAGCTTTTGATGGTTTGCAGATCATTTGACCTTGATTTTTCATTGAGACATGCGTGAAAATGTTTTAAATGGGCGTCAAGATGGGACCAGTTTGGCTTTGTTGAAACATGCAGGCCTTCCCTGAAAAGGGCATTGTAAGGATGGCTGCATATATTGCTTTCTATGTCTGTCTACAGTGTATTGTTCAGCATTTATGGTGTCTCCCCATTATGTGTAAGCTGCCTATGCCTTGGCCACTTGTCCAACCCTATTCAAACACAGATGCTGACCTTTGGGCCGCTCCTTTAAAGTCGAGAACGCTATATTGAAATTCCCGAGAAGAACGTCAAGTTTTGATTTGTCAGTGTACAGGACAGTTCCACTCCCTCTCAGTCCATCTTGTACGGTCATGTTCATGTATGATGTTCCTCTTTGACAATAGTTCTTTGAAGTGGTTTTAAGCCCATGTTGTGATATCCACTGCAGAGTAATCTGTTGTCCCGCAATGCTTCTGGACGGCCCGAGGATCGTGACCATTCAGTATTGGTTTTGGGCCTTGCCTCTCTTTTATTTTATTTTTTTAAGATTTCTTCTGTTTCTTTAGATCTTTGGATGACATGTGCTGTAGGACATTATCAAATTATCAAAATCTGTTTTTAGCATTATTTCACACAGGAACCCACCTGTTTGAAATTTGGATTGTAAAGTGATTCAGACCATCCAACCCTGTGTTGGCCCCTCCAATATTCGTGAACGTCTACGCCCCGTGATGGCGTCATTCAAATTTCACGCTTGCCTTTTGTCCTTGTGTTTGGTTTCCATAGTGGATCTGTGCAAATAAATGTTTCATGTGCCCACATTGAGTACATGACTGCTGGTGTCCAGCTCTGGTTAGAGATGGATGACTATATGGCCAGCCTTGATTGTCCAATAATGATGGGACTTGGTGGCCCTCACAAAAAGTTTTCCAATGATGACGTCTTCTTTAGGACCAACTTCTTTTAGAGCTTGATTTTTGCTCATTTCCCATGACAAGTTTAACAAGACGCCATAGATGTAGCTCTTTTGATGCACAAAGAAAATAATCAGTAAAAAATCCCTTTTTTGCTTTCAAATCTGCAGGTCGTCTGCCATATTTAAGTCACATAAAACAGGATTATTAGTTTAATACAAAGTGAGATAAATTTGCACCAATTCACATGATCTATGTGACAAAGCTAAACCTGGTGACTTTTTTTTAGCTCTGTCGATGGCACCCTGTAGTTTACTTCCCTATTTGTTTGCAAAATCTGCCAGAGCAAATTCCTGCACTCAGGCACTCACTCACAAATGCCACTCACTTCCTGCTTCCTTCAAGTCAATAGATTTATTCCTCTGAAAAGAAAATGTCGCATCATTGGTGCCTTTTGACAGCGCTGGCATGTTTCGTGGAACCCTGGCTGCACACAGCGGTTCTTTGTCTGCTTGCTTGGTAAACTGTCTAAACAGAAACTTGTGCATTGGTTTTGTGATCGCATTAAGCTCCAGGAACTAGAAGAAGGTTAAAGCTTTGCTGCAAAATCCCAAAAGTCTGTTGTCCCATCTGTGAGTACAAAACAAGTTCTTTCGATCAATTAACCCACTGGTGAGGGACGATTGAAAGCAAGAACACACCCGCTCACATACAAGTGTCAGGGACATAAATGTGTTTCTGATAAACTGTGGTAAAAGCACGCCAGCAGTTCAAAGATGAACGATAAATTCACTCACTGACAGGAACATGAGATGCAGTGAAAATAAAGCTGTTTTATTGAATGAATGTGGACTGAGAAATCTTCTCACCACTGTGCACATCTTCAGAATCCCATCACAGTGAATCTGGACACTTTCCGCAAAATGACAAATCTCCTTTGAGGTGTCTTTCAGAGCAAATAGATAACTAATTTGATGATCGATTACAGCTTCAGAGGGGCGGCACACAATTGTTAAAAACTGAAAAGAGAATACAGAGCTGTCTGCCTTTATGAATGATGAAACTACAACAGTTTATGGTATGAAACAAAGGTCTTCATTTTTGATTTGTGTAGGCCATCTTGGTGGAGTTGATTAAGGTTTTGGTGTAAATTGGGAGTCATACAAATAAGGCAATACAATTAATGTTTTCATATAGGAATGTCCTGATATGGTATTGATTTCAGATATCTGTCCAATATCAGCAAAAAAATAAAAAATATTGGATTATATCAGCCTGCATCTAAAGCCTCTGATTTCAGCACTTTGATACAAGCAGTCCACTCCAGACTCCGCTCCGGCACCTCTATCTAACAGCACCCAGATCTATTAGGGAATTAGGCAGGAACCAAAGTGCCATTTTTGTGGATTGATTATCATAAAGCATGTTCAAGATCATCCTGCAGTAACAAACAGATTCCATTACCTGCAGTATTTTTGTTTAAGTCCGAAAAAGACGTTGCACCTGAGTGCAATTCTTTTGAGTACCTGCGTACTCAAAGCTCCGCAAATTAACAACAGGTAGACATTTGAGAAAGGATGATAATGATTGATTTTCAGTAATGTATTTGGCTTTCTTACTTTTGAGGTTGTGATAAATAGTTGAATCTGGTTGGTCAAAAACTTATTGGTGCACAATTCTCAATGCCAAGGCCCACCATGATTGATCAACAGAAAGGTGGCTAGTAAGTTCAAGTTCAGATGTGTGGGATGTGGTCAGTCTGAGGAGCTATTGGGCCTTGTCTTCCTCTGAAAGGAAAAAGTGGAGAAAGCTTCCCAGCTAACAGCAGCACCTTCAGGTGGGACAAGGTTCCAATGCTGCGCCTGGGTGTAGCTCACCCTGTCAGCATTTCTAATTTGCATCGCCATTCGTCATTTCTGTATAATGCTAGATACATGTGTGATTGGCTTTGCATCTTAAAACAGCGGGGTCAGGATCCTGACTGCTGCTGCTGTTGGTTGGGAGCTGACAGTAGTCATTCATTAAAGTCATGTCTCAGTAGTTCATCATGGGAAACCACAGACACCACAGCTACTGCAGAACTCCCCCGCTAGTCAGACACTGTGGAAAAGTGGGCAATTTATCGTTTAATCTTAACACCTTATTGTCAAAGTGCCATCAGCTCGAACACAACATTCACAGTTGTTATAGTTTTCCAGAGTCTATTGCTCATGATTGAAGATGTTTTCTGACCATGTCTGTATGTATTATGGAATTCTTTAGCATGGCATATGAAATCATGGAATACACCCCTTCAACCAAATGTTCCAATCCCTTCTCCCAATCTGCAAATTCCCACATCATCATAATCAAGTAGTGGGGAGAAGCCATTCCCGTTCCACTCCCATTTAAGTTTTTTATTCAAATCCCTCAAATTATGAACACTAAACCTTTCCCCCTCGCTCTGTGATCCAGTCTTACTTTTGGACTGCAGGGAGATGTCGGCATTTTTTCAAGAACTAAAGATCAGCCAACCGCAAGTCTAATGCATTCTCTCTGTGCTGCCTGAGCTTGGAGGCAGCCTTTCTGTTCTGGAGCTGCTCCATGGTATTACATTTGCTTTCCAAGAGAGCACACATTAATAGTTGGGTTATTGAGCATTACCAAGCTCGAGATATCTTCATTCAGCAGAGGTGATTTCGTTTCACAGGCTGGCCATTTGAGATTTAATTTAGACTTCTACCTTGAACAGAGAGTGTTCTCAGTTCAGACCATGGCTTCTGCTGGCACTGTCACTGTTGCCTGACACTCTGTTCAACACAAGACTTGAGTAAGGATGGATTGATGGAAAAATTAAAACACCCCCAATTTTTGTTTCAGCTGAATCCCTCAACAGTTTCTCTGTTTCGCAGAGAGTGTTGGCCTGCTTGTTACGCTCTCACTGACAAATTGGAGAACAACACCATAAACTCGCAGTGAGATTTGAAACTGGCAATTTGAGCCCGTCTCTGTTTCCTCTGCAAAAAGCAGATTTAGCAGTTCTCCCCCCGTGCCCTGCTCTGCTGTTGGCATGACTTGGTACCTCCAGCTTATAAAAATGTGGAATGAATTATCCTGTGCTAACAGAAACGGGTGTTATTGAGTGGCTTGTTGCAGTCTATTAAGAAGTAATAATAAAATTAGAGACAGATCCATCAGCGAGACGGGGGGGAAGCAGGGGGTTTCAGAATGAGAGTGTCAATTGCGTTTAACCCTCGAATCGTTATACTTGGCCTGGTTTTACAGATGAATCATTGTATTTGAAATATTTCTGTCAAGACTGATACCATTATTGTGATTTGTTGTTGCTTAGCTAAGTGCTTAAGCCCCATGTAGCTTCTGTCTTAAACTGCAGGGAGACCTTTTTGAAGGTATCTCTGCCCAGTACCCCAACTTTGACACCCATGAGTGGAAAAGTGTCAATATGAAGGCGCTTCATTTCCTGTTGCATAAATTCTGTTAACATCTGGCTGGATTGAATACTTGACCAGTGGAAACCCAATAACAACAGTAATCAAGCCTCACAAACACATCGGGTAGGAAATGGCGGACAGTGAAAATTGCTGCCGTTCCGTAGTGGAGCTGTTCCGGATACGGTGGAAATTGGGGGTGACAGGCAGCCTGTGGAGTGACTAGATATTCCTGTCCTGCAATCCAGGCAATAGCAGCACTTCCAGGATGAGTGCATGTCCAAGTTGCCAACCACTACACAGTAACTTGAACTACAAGGGACAGTGAAAGTAGCTGAATATATAAATTGCTTTTAAATCAATAATTAATTATTTGCATTACTGTCTTAGCTGGCTGAAGAATGAGCTTTGCATTGGGTCTTACACACTTTATGGGAATTTTAATTTGCATCCTTTTCCCTGAACTTTATTGCTTACTTACATGAGATTGGGTTGGCATTAAGTACAGTGTTTCAGAAGACATCTCAACAGTCACCATACTCAGTTATTCCCCCTTAGATACTCATATCACTTCTTGTGCACCAAAAGCCGCTATTTTAGGTCCACTTAGTCAAAATCAATGCTACACAGATATACCATCAACCAAGATCTGGTGACTCCAAAGGCCTAGCTGCTTTCAAAGAATTTCCAGAATCTCTCAGTTTGCAAAAACATTGTTGAACAACTCAACTCTGAAAATGAAATATTAAGTTACACAGTCCAACCAAATCACTCTAAATAAAGAGGCCTTATCTGCTGATGTCGGGATTCTGCAATCTCCAAAACATAGCACCAATTTTACACTCAGACCAGAGCAATGTCATCCATGCACTCATTTTTTCAGACTTGACAACTATAACTCCCTTCGTCCTTCCATAAATCAGAGTGCACTCTTCGCCTCCAACTGGTTGAACAGACTTTAACGCCGGATATCTCTACACTGGCTTTATTTCAAGATTTGAGATTGATCTCAACGTTTTCAAAGTAGGTCAAGCTTTCTGAAATTGAGAAAAGACTTTCTTTGTCAGAGTACTTTGTTTACAGTTGTAACTTATGAAACTTATTCTTGAATAAAGTGTTCTGAATTGACTGGAAAAAAAAAGATTCATCAAGCATAAAATCTGACATTCTCTTGCCTAACCATCTGTGATAGAGATGCCCTTCTCTAAAAGGACCTGCTTATGAACACCTTGCAGCTCTCTTCGGATTGCACTGCACTTGATGCTGGCGATTAGAGGTTGAAAATGGACACCTTTCATCAGCTACACTCAGCATCAAAGGCCCAACACTGGCCCCCTTGTCATGAAACAGCCTGCTCTGGTTACTTTCTGTTTGCCTTTCCAGTCAGTTTGTCACTGTCCTGATTCATGCTTTCATCTGAAAGAGGTTTCTTGTTGTGCTGGCAGTGAAATATTACAAAAGTTCAATCATGCTGCCTCTGGCTCATTGCACAAGAATACATGCATCACTTGAGCAGGTAAGCCTTTAGCTGCAGATGGGATAAAGCTGCGTATTGTCTTCGGAGTGCCAAAACAAAGTCTTGAACAAAACAACCTAGATTTCTAATGTCTAAGTCTAGTCATCTTAACACCAAAGAAAAATTTCAAGTAAAGCTGACACACAAAAAGGCTGTTTAGGGGAAACAAAGCAAGAGAATCTGTATTACCCTGACCTACATTAAACCTTCCTACATTTAGCCTTCTCTTTGGTTTCTTCCCTCTCTTTTTTTAACCTGAGATAGGCACTGAGTGATGGCCTCAAGCTGTGGTTTATGACAAACTTTTAGGATGAGAGAAGGATAACAGGATGGGGAAGTGGGATAAGATGTCTGAACTGTCAGCCAGTTTTCACTCCCGAGCCCTCAAAAACAGCAACGCGGTCAGCGGTTCGGTTTGCAAAATGTGACGCCCTCAAGCATCATTTCTGGACAAGCCCTTCAGTCTGTTGTTTTGATGAAGTGCTGAAGTTAAGTAATGTAGAATAGAGAACACAATGACTGCTTTGAATGGCCATCGGGGTGAAGGACAGGTCAAACACAACACAAGGGACTCTATACTCAATTTGTTTACTGTATAAAAAAAACAGCCGATGAAAGTTGATTTCTCCTTAAAAGGAAGAATATAATTTATGGTGCTAGCTAACATTTGATGGAATTGGAATCCATTTTCTGAACCTCTCTGAAAGTTAGCATTTTGTTACATGATCCATATTTGAGATACTCGCATATCCACACGTCAGAACATATCAAACATTTGTCAACAAAGTATACCTCAAAAATAGGTAGGAGTTAGTGTTATTAACTTGAATGCTTTATTTTAAAAGTCTACCTAAAATTTGAAAATGTAAAATTGTTGGCTAAAAAACGGAGACAGAGAACGCTTTGGCTACACAATAATTTGCCAGATTTGATTTGCTAAAGGCTTGGCCATTGTTAGCCTCCTAGCCAGGCTTACCCTCTCCTCTCATTTTCCTGCTCCTCATAGAGATTACAGGTGATCCAGTTGCTCTAGTGAGATAAAGCATGGTAAAAAAATCTGATTTAGCTTGTTACAAAACAAACTGAGGGGTTTTGAATCCTCTTTATGACCTTAAAAAGCAAACATGACCACCGGCCACAAGATTAACAAAGCAGTATTGTAATTTTTGATGCCTGAAACCTTTGTAAAAGTGTAGGTGTCAGACCAGAGAACTGCCGAAAACACTGATGAAAAAGTCTCTCTATATTTTCATCAGCAAACATTCACACCAAGTGACAAGTTTGGCTGTTGACAGAAAGAAGGATGAGACTTTTTTTTTGTCGGAAGATACAACCAAGTATCACTAAACATGAGATCTGTAAGCTTTAACTTTGAAGATGTACATCTTCATCAGGGGGTACCAAAACCTATACTGAAAAGAACGACAGAGGAGTCCACTACTTGGACCACCCCAGTCCAAAAAGTCTGAATACGCCCCTGCTGCACAGACCTACTTGATAGGGAGCTGGATCGTTTTTGTCAGATTGATTTTGTTGAGAATGTTTTGAGCCTTTGAACTCTTTGATTACTATTTTTGATGCACTTGATTTTGGTCCTGTGTTACAATTACATGATGATAAAAATAGCTTCATCCTACATTGAAAGAATAGTGACGGTCTTAGTCGAGGTGTCAATCAAATTTCCCTGAGCAGTTATCTCGCTGAAGGTAGTTATTTTGCAATTGGGATCACTTTGACTAAAGTTTTCCCAGAAGAAAGCGGCTGAACAGTGGTTTTCATAGGCAAACATCTTCCTGTCAAAGTAAATTAGTACAAAGAAAAAGGTAATGAAACATGTTCACGTACAGACAAAACAATCAGGAGTTTCCTTGGATGTTAAAGGTTTAAAATAGACATTTGCTTGTTTTCTCCATATTTAATCTCTCCTCTTATATAGTAAACTACAGGCTTTTTGCTGGAGGATAACAAAATAGTTGCAGATTATAAATGCACTGGCTGAGCTCCTTCCCCTTCTCGGAATCAGTTGATGGTCATTTGTGGTGAAATCATATCCCCGCAGAATGCGAGTACAACATCACAGTCCAACCTAAGGCTAATAATGAACGGACAGGAAAATCTATTCAAATGACCATGTGGTTACATCTGAGCTTTGTTTCCTCATTTTGACAAACGTAACGTAAATGCAAAATGAAATATTAATTTCGACCAGCTGAACTTTTTCAGCCAACTCCTTTTAAATCATGTGGGGATGTTGTGCCCCCCTCCCCGTTCAAGTTAAATATCAACTACAGAATAAACAGTCTTTTCTTGGAAACAAATATGCCAGCTGTATAATGTAACTGTAGCCACCTACACTCCCAAGACAACAACTTTTCAACATTAAAAAACGAGTAAGTCAACAAAATTTCGCAAGGCAATCATCATTATTGAGCTTCACAGCCAAATTCTCGATGAACCACATTCATCCTCCTGATATATGAGCTCAGTCAGATATTTATGAGTGTTTATGCTTAATAAAGACAGACAAAAAGTATTTTTTCAGGCTGAGGTTTTACAAGAACACACAATAGGATAAACTGGATACTTTGACACTGGTGAACTCCCTCAAAATACCATCAATCATCTCACTGCCGCCAAGGCTTTCCCCTTTGTGGGATTAGTTTCTTGTTGGTTGTGCACTCTAGAGGCAAATTGAGGTTATCGGCTAACACAAATGATTATCGCTACATTCTGTTATACCAACAAATTTGTTTGAAACATTATCACCCTGAACAGCTTAAATAGATCTTATTGTTGTGCAGAGCTACCGGCAAAACTGCAGATTCACTCCCAGTGCTTGATACCATTTGGATAACAGCCTGGCAACGATGCATGCTTTGTGTTATGGTGGAACGACGGTGGATAAAAGGCCTGTTTTACAGCCCATCACTATGTGGGTAGCTGTAATCCTCTCTCCCCTCCTCTGTGTGAGTCCAAAGGAAACAGAACAGTCGTGTTTGTATGTGTGTGTGTCCAAATGTGTAGGATCTTTCCCCTAACTTTATCTGATAGTAGATTCTGATGTGTTGTTGTTCTACAGTGTGTGGGCTGTGGTCATCACGGCTCAGTAAAGGTCATCTCTTACTCTTTTTCTCCCAATGTTTCGCCTCACTTCCCCTGCCCACAACATGTGTCGGTATCTAGGGTGGGGCCTCCCATCCTACATGGCCAAACAGTGCTATCATCGCCAGGCCCTCTTCGCTTGTTCATTCATCAGCTCTGCCTCTGTCTCAGACTGTGTGGGTGTGTCGGGAGCTGGGTCGGGGTTTCTGTCCTTTCCTTTTTCTCGCCTCTCTCTCTTGCTAGCTCTTTTCACACATGAATTCCTGACAATTTCCAGATGATTTCAGGACACTTACGGCCCCACACTTTCTCACACATCAAACAGAGGGATATTTTGGCGGCTGTGTGATCAAAGTATTCTGTTTGGTGTAGGTGAGGATGGTGCCTTGGTAGAGTTTAAAGGAGAGATAGCAGGAACAGTCCTCTGTTATGGTGACTCTTTCTGGGTTGATATCACCAGGAGTGTGTATGTTTAGTTGACTGAAAGGGATGTAACACTATCAAAATCTTATGATATGATATTATCCTGATGAACAAATCACAATACTAGGGCTGGGCGATAAACCGAAATTTACCAATACCGAAATTAACGACAATAACCGACGTCATTTTGCCCATGTCAATATATTCGGTGTCAAAAAAATGAATTAATAAAAGTTGGTTTTGGATGTGTGTAGGTAGGCTATGGTCTCATGTCCATTTAAGACGCTGTCCACCCCATCCAGTCCATAACAAAGAGGTAAAGACAGGTGAGGAGATGGAGGGCAGTTCAAAAGTTGTAGTGGCTGGAGCGGCGAAGTTAATGTGGGAGGGGGTGAGCAGCTTGTGGAGTAGTCATCATCCGTTTATGGTTATCGAGGTGAACTGCTCAATATATTGTGATATTGATTTGAGGCCATATCGCCCAGCCCTACTCTGTATGGTATTTATAACAGTTAAACTTTAGTCTTGTTGTTTTGGTAGCGAGCTGGTAATTGTGTTTGACTACAGTACAGTCATGGTGGTAATTTATACTTTGGCTTCAGCGTGTTTACTAACCGTCTGAATCTTTTGTTGTCAACCACAAGAAAGGATGTAAATGTTTGTTTTGAGTCTTTTGGCTCGACTCATCTCTTTTTTCTTGCATCATCACAAGCGTTTTTGGGGTGACAATTGGAGGAAGCTTCTCCTTTCACGCATATTCTCCAACTCGTGGGTCATCACAGTCTGGCAGAGTGTGTGTATTGTTTACGTCTGTCCATCACCCTCTCACCTCTCTCTCTTGAGAAAACCCAAAAGCTTCCACACCTTTGAATTGAAGCATCCACAATTCCTCTGCTTCTTGACACTTCTGCCAGAGTCTACCATTTTTCTGTGGCGGCAAACAAAGCGTAGAGGATGATAAGCACATTTAAGACCCTCTGTTCTGCTCCACGGTGACTGAATCAAAACTACTTCCTCAAAGACACTTTAGGAGCCTGCCATTTGGGTCTGCCAGAGATTCACAGCAATTTGAATAAAGAAATACTCAGAAATGCATTTTCGCACTGATTTACTCATGATATGTCCTGTAGCATCAGAAAAAAGCCATATGACCGAGTAGACAACCAGAAAATCATGCTTTTTATTAGAGTGGGTCTTTAGATATCACTACAGTGGGTAAACTGATGTTTCCGTATACAAGAGCATTGGTAGAAAACCAAAAACAGGCAACTACGGCAAGTAATAATAATTCTAAAGAAGCAAAACTAGACTCGAAATGAAAAATATCACCTCTCGGCTCATTTGCATGCAGTGATTGGTCCAGACTATGACCTACTGTGTCTACAAATGGGTGCATTGAACTGCATGCAAACAGAGTAACATTTATGCATGCAGACCACCAGGACAATGTGGAGAAATTTTCACAAGAGCAGTCCACGAGTAAAAGGGGTTTTCTGCCTTTCTCTTTCCTCCTCTGCCCACCCACCGTCTGTCTGCTGACGTGGCCCCGGGGTCGTTCTGGGCTCTGGCCCTCAGGCCCCAAATGTTCGCCCCTCCCCCCTCTCACATCAACGCTGTGTTATCGGTGGGATCTGCGTCTGTCTGTGTCTGCCGGTGCTGCCAGACGCAGGAGGAAACAGGATGCGAGAGGATCAACTGTAATCTCACAGCGCGCTTTGTTCCACACAATCCCAGGCCGATCACTGTATTCTCTACACGCAGGGCCGCCACTGGACATTTACATGTGCCAACAATCACACCGCTACTGGCCCACGTAGGTGAGAGCGCAGAGAGAGAGAGAGAGTTAGTGGTTTAGAGACTCTCATAGGAAGGAGGATGTTAAGAGACCCGTGGCTTTTGTTTGAAGGGTTTGGTGAATATCAACGAATATGGAAATGTTAGGTCTGGAGGTTTCTTTTGTAATGAGAGCAGAAACATGTCATCAGTGGCATATTTGACTCTCTGATTATAGTCATGATGATAATGATAAGTTGAATGATATGATGTGGGATTGATCTGCATCTCAAGTAAATATGTTTCCATTGAAGATGAAAGAAAGTCAAATGAGATTGAAATTGAGGAAAATCCTCAACATTGTCCTGAAATGAACTTGATGATTACCGTGTAAAGCACAAACAGGCCTCGTTTTTCCATATCTGAGCAGGTGAGGTCCTGATTTGAGCTCATTATTAGGATGAAAGGGTGGGAGGAAAGATTTGTGCCTGTTTAAGCAAGTCTCGGCATTCAGTGGAAAAGCTTTATCTCCACCTCGGGGAGATCAGGGGAGAAAAAGGATGCTTTTGAGATGCTTCTGTCAGACCAATTTTCTATGCCTGGGAGGCAGCTTACTTAGATTCTCAGCATTCAAAACCAGCAACGTTAAACACCCTCATAATTGTTTTAGCTTTACTTCTCTAAGCCCGCCTTATTATACGAATCAAACCTCGGGACCCTACAGTGAGCCACTGTATCAAAGCGTGTCACTTCCCAAAGCTCCATGATGTGAGTACACTGAGAATGTGGAGCCTAGTTCTGGTAAAACAATATTATTTTATTGTACAGGAACACGGCTGTGCTAATTCCTCAAGCTGCAAACCTCACAGACCACAACTTTGTCTATAATTTGCCGGGAGCATATGTTCATAGCAACAGTACATAAAGCGGAACGGAAAACAGTAGTAGAGAGCGCATTAGTCAGTTCAGTGATTGGTATACAAAGCGAGGGGTTTTCCTCCAACTTTCTTCCCCTTTCATGGGGCCCTGGAGTCACAGCTCCAGCACCATCCAGCGCGGCATTGGTTAGAGCTTGTTTTCAGTATTTTTGGGTGTCATAACTTCATTCGAGATGTGCCGTGCGGGAAAACGGTGCAGAGTGCATGAATTTAAACATATCGTGTTTTCAAAGTATATAAGACTCCAATTAAATTCACAGTTTTGAGGATTGTTTTCACATTTTTATTGAATTTTGCAGCAAAAAAAATTCTTTGCTTTGTTTTCTTAATCTTGTTTGGAATGCGAAAGTGCAGAAATTTTAAAAAAGTACACCTTCAACTGATCTCATGACAGGGAATTACCGCACAGATACAAAAGAAAGAGTGATCCTCATTTCTTTAGGTGTGTCTCTTTCCACCTAAAAATGCTGTGGGCTGGTATTCCGAGCAAAAGAAGCAGGAGAGAAGTTTTACTGAAAAGAGTTTCCTCCTCTTGTTTATAGCATACTGTCACCACAAGTGTAAAGACTCCTGGCCACCAGCAGGTGACACTTTCCCCTTTGTTCACTGTGGTGCCATTTACCCCATGACAGCGTGTTCCTGTGCCTAATGGATATGAAGCTCCAAAACTCAGTGTATCGTTGTGTGGCTGAGATGTAATTCTTATGCAATCCAATCCTCCTCCCTGTGTCCCCGGGGTGTGAGTGCATGTCCGAGGATGAGGGGGCCTTTAAAAAGCTTTCCCCTTCACTGCTCCACCGACAGGCTCGTCTTGCGTAGAGAACCCATTCATCTGCACTGCTGGGCTCTGCCGCTGTGTGTCTGTTTGTGTGTGTGTGTTTGTGCATGTGTGTGCTTTCCTCTTACATGGAGAGATCGCTGACAGTATCCTAACCTGAAATACTTCTTACCAGTCTTGTTTTATCTGCTGCAATTCATCTTTTTGGTCTTATTACTACATGACCAGTTCCATAAAAGTTGACACCCTGTGTGAAATGTCCATAAAAACAGAATTTATAAATTGTTTCAATCCTATATTTGACTGAAAATAATCTAAAGGCAACAAATCAAATGTTGAAACTCAAATGTTATAATTTTGACAAAACAGGTGGTCCATGGGCAAGGTCTTCGATTTATCAGACTACAGGACAGTTTTCAGTTTCACATCAGTCCAGCTTGAGAAGTTGAAAGCATTTCTGGATCATCATGTCCATGTTGGTTTATTTTGTGTAGCCCATGCAGGGATTTCCACTACAGAGTCTCATCTGTTATTAACCTCTAGCAATTTCACTAAATGAGTTGCAAAATCTTCCAGGTGTTTTTTTTTTTTGTTTTTTTTTTGCGGTATTACACAAATTTAGTTGTTCTCGTCCCAATTCTTTTAAAAAATGTGTGGTTAGCATCATATTTCAATGAGTATGTATTTTTCATAATACAAATATTTTTTGTTCTAACGTTTGATATGTTGTCTGCATTCCTCTCAAGTTGTGTGTTTGTCTCTATCTGTCTTTTTCTGGTCCGTACGGCAGATGGCTGACCACCACAGGGTCTGGTTCAGCTCAAGGTTTCTGCCTGTTTGGATTTTTGGATAAGGCAGTGGATTCAACAGCCACTTGTTCACGTCCCTTTGGTTCGTCTTTTCCCCGTCTTTACTTGTCAGCGTTATGGCGTAACCATTGATTACGAGTGGTGAAGAAAGCAAGGCTTGTTGAGGTCAATGACCATGTTACTACATCAGCTATAGCCTATACTACATCAGCGCGGCCTGTACAGTGTCATCGGTTGTAAATCTCCGGTGCTGTGTCATGTGAAATTTGTCTAGTGGTGTGCCTGCCTCCGGCTTTAAACACAGATTGCCGTCTTAGCGGCAAGCCACTACATCCAGAGATTTCTTTTTGTGTCCCAGCTTTCGGCAGACGGTCAAAAGACACGCCGGGCACTGCAGCAGGGGCTGCTGTCCAAAGTGGTGTGGTCAGTGAAAGTGAAGGCCGAGGCATCCTGAGTCAGGAGGCTGTGATACATCTTTGGTTTTAGACTCTGACGCAGGGGTACGACAGGATATTTCCTGTTTGTTTATGACGTTGGTACCTGCTCTAAAAGAAGCCGACCTCATCTTCTTCCTCCCTACTTTCTTGGATAGTGCAGCAGACACTTGCCACTAAACTCCATTAGACATCTGGTTTAATATTCCCCCATTCTTCTCCCCTGGATGTTTCCAAGTTCATTGAGGTTTTCTGGTCACTCCAATTTTCCACTGGCAGCTAGCGAGGCTATCCCAGGGTGGTTCCTCCTGGAGGGCTGTCAGGACTCTGGGGCCAGCCTGTGCAGCGCTTTCTGCTGCTGTTATGGGTGCTTTTTCCCGTCCGCATTTCATCAACAGCACGGCTGTTAAGCAAAGCATGGCTTTCCTTTCCTTTGAGTATGGGAGTGAACTGATATTCAGGCAACACATGACAACAGAGCATTGTGCTCAGATGTAAAGTGTCCTTGCTGTGGTCACGTCGTCTTCTTTCTTTCAGAGGGATAAACACTGGATCTTTGATTTGTCTTTTTATTTCACCACAATGTGATTTCTGGACCACATGCATTTCACAAAGCTGGAAATAAGTTTAACGACAGTTCATGTCAAATTCTGTGTGTACACGGAGTAACTGAGTTTGATATTTTAGTGTTTTTGAGTTTAAGAATTTTCTTGTTTTTTCTTGACTATGTAAGATAAACATGGATATGCGCAGCACTTTTTAGTGCTAAAAATCTCATTTCCGATGTCTTCTTTCAATGCACAGAGCAAAAAAAGAGGGTCTTTATCACTGCAGCTCCACAGCTTGTGTAATTGGCTTTCATCATGGCCAGGCTGAGCCTTGGCAGTGCCAGACCCACCAGGGGGTGACAACCAGTACAAGCCCCATCATCATCATCATTTTCCCCATGAGCGGCCTGACTCAATGGGCCCAGAAATGGGCATGCATCTATGGCCCGGGGAAACACCCTTTCTCTGGAAACTGCCTTTATCCTGTTTTAAACATTACAGTGACGCTCTGTTTGTGCGTCCGAGTGCAAATGTGTTTTTTACCAGCATGTGTGAGCGGGGGTGGAGGGGAGTGTGAGTGTGTTGTGTATTTTTATTATGTGGTGGGTAACAGCGTTCGCGTCCGTATGTATGTGTGTGAATGTACGTACATCCCCGTTGTGCGCCTACATGTGTGAGGTGGGGGCAGCCGAATGTTACCACAAGCTGGTGGGGCACAGCTTTGCAGCTAACCAAAGAAGCAAGTGGTTGTGAGTCAGTCCCCATTGGGCAAACTTGTGGCTGTGGAATTAGCTCTGCAGCACTGGTGCCAAGATAGGAAATTAACAGTGGCTTTGGGTGAAAACGTCTCAGAGAGTTCAGAGACGAGAATAAGGTGCAAAAACTCCCTCTGAGGTAAGTAGAGGAAGTGGATTAAAAAAAAAAATCCGCAGCGGCAGGCTGGAGTACTTGATGCAAAATACTTCTAAAATACCTGAAACTTAATACCTAAAACCTAACATATCAGTACATTTTACAACTCTGCTTTGTGCAACCAAGCGCTCTTAAGGACCCTCCCCAATGAAAATCATGTTTTTCTTGCTGTTTACATGTTCAGATGGCATTTTTCTGATGCTAGAGAACATATCATGAGAAAAACAAGTGTGAAATTGAATTTCTGTGTTCAAATTGCTGTGAATCTCTGGCAGACCCAAATGGCGGGTTCAGATACAGTGAGATTTCCTATGTCACAATTCCAAGCTCCGCCCCCAGAGCCTTGCTCTACAGGCCAGACTCGGAGAAGTAGAGAGGACGATCGTGGAACAAGCGTGTGTGTTAGCGGATTGCAATGCTTGTAAGAAAGCTAATTATGATATTAGATTTTATCATGCCCCTTAAGAAATTAGTGTCTGGGAGCTGAATAGCTCCTATGTTACCTGCTTATTCTAATACACCGGCAATGTTAGACTGCAAGCTAGCGTGAAGAGGAGTGTGCAGAGCAGCACTGTCTCCGTACACGACTCAGAGGCGAATTGTTAATGAGCTACTGGAGCTCTGCAGAAGAAAAGCCCTTGAAAATTACACAGGTAGTGAGATTTTGTGTACAAATTTCACAATCACAATTTAAGGACCACTGAGAAAACGATTGGAGTTTGGACTTGAAGCCACACTGATGCTAAAGCAAGCAATCTTGGTTTTATCGGACTGCTCTCTTGCAGTTTACAAAGTTACAAAAGAAAACATTGCACATCCATTGAACTGAAAAGCTAAGCAAAGTTGTCCCCCTACTTTTCTGAGTGATTTCCCTTTAATTTCATCTTTATTATTGTAATTTATGTCTGCATTAGGGATGTACAACAGCAATGGATTTGTCAGAAATTAACTTTGCTGTATAAAAAGAGAGAGAAAAGAAATAAATTATATCACATTACAACCCTGTCCTAAAGTTGTGCAGAAAAGCTGATATATACAGTTTATTTAACAGTATATGCCATTGGTCAAGCATTTCCTTCATGGCAGTCTAAATGTAGCTTGTTGCTCTGCACTTCAGGGTGTGTAATTCACAACAGGCAAATTTCAGATCTCCAGTTATCAGTGGTGAAGCTCACAGCTGTAACATATTCTCACTTTGTTGATAAGTGTTTTCCCACCTCTTGTGTCGAGTTTAGGCAAAGCTGTGTCAGAACAAGCTGGCGATAAGCTGACTGCCTGTAAATGGTACTGTGGTTCCTTGTGTCTATTTATGCAAGTTTGTGTGTTTTGCAGCTGTCTTGGCCAGGTCTCCCTCAAAAAAAGTCTCTGTGAATCTAACCTGGTTACATAAAGGTTAAATAAATAAACTGAAAAAATCTTTAAAAAAAAAAAAACTGTACCTTGTTTCCATGTGTTGAGCCACATGGAAAGCAGGTGTGTCTAATAGAAAAAAAAAATGGAAAAAGACTCTTTTCTGATATTTTCACACTTTAAAACCATCATTTGAAAGATTTTTACAGCTTTCTGCATTCAGTTGATGATGCTACCTGCTTTGATTCGACTTCTGTTTTTGTTCGGTTGAACTCATACTGTATGATATAATGGTTCTTGAGACACTTGACTAAACTGGTTGTGTTATATTTTGTTCTGCTACACCCATCAAAACATGAGCCTTGCACAAAGTTGCTGATGTAACTCCAAATTGCTAAATCTCTGAAGTTTGTTACCTGTGCCCTTCCCCTGCAAAGACACACTGATAAACACATGGTTTCAAAGAATTGCGCTGAAAAGTTCATCTCCATGGATAAGCCTTTTGTATATTTCAGCTATTTGAGTCAGTTTTTGTCTGATATTAAATACCAGTGCTGAATTGTTGCATCCCTAGTCTATGAAAAAATACACCGCCTTCATTTGCTTATTCCATTACTCTATTTCAGTGTATATTTGCCAGTGTATTTATTGTAAGCACTGAATATGTCCAAGGTTGATTATTTTGATCTAGTGCTTTTGATTGAGAACTGTTGTGGCTTAGTTTTCACACAGAGGTTTGTGTATTTGTTCAAACTGCAGACTTAAGAAAACAGTTTTTAAACTGTCATATGTGACATATTTGAAAAATCAAACACAGTGAAGGAGGATTTAACTGGTTGGATCACTGTCTACTAATAATTAATCATGAGGAAAAATATAACTATAAATCTGCCTCTAGGAAATTTCTGACCTCATACAGTCCTATATGGGCTTTGAGTGTCTGCAGGATTCGGTGACATCAAGTCACTTTGTCCAGACCCCTGCAGATGGTGCCTGGATTAGAAGAATTACAGTGAATTTCTTGCCAAACTAGTCTGACAAAACCCTTCGCCGTCTCTTTTCAAGCCATTGACAAAATGGTACATCAAAAAGGGAGCTTTTTGCCCTTTCAAGTCAAAATAAGTGCATTTTACCTAGAGAAATTCAAATAATTGCATCTGAGGACATTGCACAACATACATCAAAAGACTTACAAAACATTCCTCTGTGCATTGTGGTTAGCCTTGTTTCTGCTTCTCGGCCCCTCACAGATTACTGCCAGTTGAAGGGAGACTCGGGCTGTAATAGCCCACAGTCTGTTTTAGAGCAGGGGAGTGTTTTTAAGTCGGCCCTCTGCGGCCATTAAGAGAGGAGTATGAGATAGCTCAGAAAATTTTAGGAGGAGAAAGGACAGGGGTGGCATGGAGGTTGTTGGTAACCTTTTGGCTATGGAACTTCTCTGGTCCATTTTCATCTCAAACTGGTTCAAAAAAAGAAATATGTTGGAGACGCTCTCAATTTCACTCTCAATTTCTCAATTTTTAGGGTTCTTGGAGAGACATTTTTCAATTCAATGATTAGATGATCACGTGATCAAAATTTGTATCAACTTATTCATCAAAAACAAAAAAAGACTCGACAGCTCGACTGTAAGTTTGTTCACAAAGAAATTAAGTTTATAGTGAGTGTTACATATCCAACTTCTTAGATAGCTGAAATTGCATCATGTTTGTGCTTGAATGGCTCAGTACTTTAACTTGAGTGTGATATAGTTAAATGTTTGATTGGAGAGATGTCTGTAAGTTTATGGTACAAAACGTGAAAAGGTAACTAAACGGAGATGTTTGTCTGTTGTTGGGGTTAAATTATGGACTGATGGCAACATAAATTTAAAACAGCACTTTTGTTTTTCACAAAATGGTTTGCAAAGTTGTTTTTGAAGCTGATAACTCTTAATGATTTACTAGTGTTTTTACACTCTGAATGTGGGGAGGCAAGACCCAAATAAGCATTTTTCTTCTGCTTATTCCTGTTCAGTCACGACTTAATACAGGGCTTTCAGGTTTGTTTAGATGACTGTCTGAATAAAAGACGACTTCTAATCATAAAAAAAACCAATGTTTAACACAACATAAAGAAAAATTCAGGTAAAAGAATCTCAGGAAATAAACACTTACCAGAGTCTTATCGTAGTACTCGTAGTATTAACTTGCTTAGACAGTTCCTCTACTTGTCAGTGAGTAAAGCAAGGAGACCTGCAGACCCCAGCTGTTTGCAGTGTGGGCAGCAGCACAAGGTGCTCCTGTAGAGGAATTCAGCACTTTGGACAGCACCTAGACCAACTCTCCCCACTCTGGAATTCCAACACTGCACTCTTGCAGACGAGGTCCAAGGACTTTGCGGTTTGTAATGTGACCACACTTCTACCAAGGTGCAGGAGGGAAGCTGTTTAGAGAGAGGAAGGAAAATACACAAAAGCTTATCAAGGAGTCGAAGCCAACTTGGAATTTTTGTGCACTTTTGTAAATGCCAGAATCTTTGCTGCTGAGAGTGACTATGTTCACTGTTGGCTTAAATACTGACATGAAAAAAAGAGGAGATCTTTGTAGAGCTCTGGCTAAAATCATTTTCAAAAGAGTTTTCAGTTGAAAGTAAAGGTACAGAGGAAAGTATGGGTTACTTTTGTCAAATTTAGCACTCTGGGCTCCTTAGACCGCTGTGTATTGCTATTGTGCGGTCGTTACTAAAGTTGGTATAACTAGAGAAGCAAGAAGTTGGCAACATTCATCTCTCGAGGGGGTGTCTAACTCAGTGTTATGGTGTGTTTGACCCTGAATTAATTTTAGGATGGAATATCCCCTTAATGAGCAACAAGTCAAAGGTGTACAGCCACCAAAACAAAATGTGACACCTCTTCATATTTAAGAATTGCTTAAGACACATCTCCTTTTCTTCTTTCAGGCAGTCGGGAAGCAGCATTCACCTATGCCATCACAGCGGCAGGGGTGGCCCATGCCATCACTGCAGCATGCAGCCAGGGCAACCTGAGCCAGTGTGGCTGTGACCGAGAAAAGCAAGGCTACTACAACCAGGAGGAGGGCTGGAAGTGGGGAGGCTGCTCAGCTGATATCAAGTACGGCATTGAGTTCTCTCGTCGCTTCGTGGATGCCCGTGAGATTAAAAAGACTCCACGCCGCCTGATGAACTTACATAACAATGAGGCAGGGAGAAAGGTAAAGAGGGGTTTCATAACCCTTAATCCTTTTCCAGCACTGTTCCAGAGAGCACATGACAACACAGAGGTTTTTTTTCTCATTGTTTTGGCCCTTACTCCCATCCCTTATAATAATAATAAAAAAACTGTCCCCATGAAGTCAACTACAAAAATCTAATAATGTGTTGAAACATCGATGCATAGCCACGTGTCTTAATGTGTTTCTCTGTCGAGGCGCAAACAGTCCCAGATAAGGAGCTTAGAAAGTCAAAAGACTCAGATTGACCAAGTTGCTGAGTGACTGATCACCCAGAGTTCCTTTCAGCAGCTTGTTTTGCTTCAGGCCATTATTGACTTTTCAAGTCATTCTGAATGCCCGCCTCTTATTTCCAAGTGAGTCTGTTGGCAAACTTTGTTATGGCCACGTTTGTTTGCTGTTTGTCATCCCAGAACGGTCACGGAGGAAAGGAGAAAGACAAATAGTGTGAGAGGTAAATAAAAGAAAAAAAATAGTGTGATGTTGACAAATGGATCTCATTAATAACTTGGGCTTTATTGCGTCCACTGGGAAAATAGGGCCTTGCCAGTGGTTGCCAGATGGAGGACTGCCATGTCCTCTTTCCAGTTCCTTTTATGGAGTTATGAAGTGTAAAGTCAGGAACAGGATATTATTGCAGTTCTCAACACAGTACCAAAACATGTCACTGCCATTTGACTGCGCCTATTCAGGGTGGGAAAGCAGGGCAACAATGCAGACTGATGGAGTCTGATCTGCATGCCAGTTGGACTCTCAGGGGAGTTGGCACGCTTAGGAAGTCAGGGTACGCTGAAACCATACATGACAAAATCTTTCTTTTCTTAACAGGAAACCGTAAAAAAAGACTTTGGCTGAGTTCGCTTTGGGTTTACTGGACCTCACTTACATTTAGCCTCTTCATCCAGTTTCCTGGATGGCTGGCTACTTAATATCAAAAACAACAGTAAATGCTTCCACAGCGATATCTTATATTAACTGTTATTGTTTATAACATGTTGGTTTATGGACCTAGACAGATCATTTGTTTTGGGAAATGGAGAGTTTTATGAGCTTGCAAATATTGCTGAGCTTTGATAGTTGTAGCTAACCTGCCAACATGCAGAAATGATTAATTTTTATACATGCCTTGCCAGACTAGCACTGTCAAGGTCCTATTGTGCCATTTTTTTGTTTTCTAAGCAGCCTTACCAAGAGGCACAGACATCTTAGCAATGGACCAAAGTGCATTTCATACAAGTTGCACTTTAACATAAGTCACAATGTTTGATACGATAAGATACAGTACAATATGATACGATACAATACACTTGATTGCCCACTGAGAAGTTTCTCTTGGATTCAAGTGCTGCATACACTCAACCACATCTACACAAATATAACTAATGAATAACATGATTTAGTAGCCAACATCCTCCACTTGTTTGGAAGAAAACTACACTTTAATTTAGTTGAAGAAGAAATTCTTGTAGTAGATGCAGTATATAGTCTGTATTTGTGGCAGCCATCTCGGTTGTTGATTCAGGAGATATGGACACACAACACTGTAAATACAAGTGACACTTGATTGAAAACAGCAGCTGCAAAACGATTTTTTTTGTTGTTGACTCAGTGGCTAGCTTTTGGCTAACACTGAACAGCTAAAAAAGGACTTCTTTCATTCGCACAACTGAGTGAAGATTATGACTTGCATCAGCCAAAGGGAAACCTAGACGGACCACTATAAAATCTTTAATCTGATGACAAAGACATATCTGGGATTAGGGCCCGTGTGCACTAACGTCGTATAACGTGCTGGCAGTGCCCACATGCAGTTAGCTCTCGCTCTTGACCTATAAATTCTTATGACAGAACAAGTATGGGTTTACGGGTGTCAATAGCAACTATGCCAATGTTGTAGACAAAGTTCACATCAGAAGTCCTGCCTCTGTTTTTGTTCAATAAGTCAGTGATGGAGAAGTTACAGTGATAGCAATGAATGTTAAACTGTTTTCTCCTGAGAGCACCATGAGTGCTGAGGGAAAAAAAACACAGTTTATAACTTAGGAAGCTTGATGCTTAAATGACTGATTTGCATTGGAGTTGTATAGAAAAAAGACAGATCTGAAAATTTACTGTTAGTAAATACAGGCCCTTAATGTGGTTACTAAACCCTTGATGAAAAACACACAGCATTTTTAAATAGGTCCAATGCTGGTAATTCAAAACAAACTTTTTTATGCAGATGACTATCTTCTCTCTTAAAGTTTTCATAGAATTTGACTTCCACATTCATCACAGCTTTGCCATCAGTGTGACTTTTTTTGGTTCCTAATGACTTCCTAATAAGCTAATTGAAACAGAAAACTGCAATTATAGTAAAAACCATGACCAAATCTAATGCAAAAGAGGACCCAGTCACTGGAAGTCTTTCATCTTGCTTCAGGGCCATATGTCTGACAAGTGATCTCTGGATAGGAAGCTGGTCATACTGCACTAATTGGTAACAGATCAGAGGCCTGATCGACACACTTTAAGTAAATGTTTCCATGCGTCTGTCAGACCCCTTATGCCTGGAATTCTTTGTGGTTTTTGTGCTCTACATTTTTGGAAATCCTCAATCTGAATCAACATTTGAGGCACGATTGACAGCTTACCCTGTTTTATGAAGTCGCATAGCTCATGTTTTTTCAATCAAATGTCCTCACATCACAAAACTGGGACCACATGGGTCTGTGGACAAGACAGACATTGATAATGAACAACTCTTGTGTACATTTGGCGAGTGTGATCAAAATGATGACTTGCACCGCTGGCAAGGCGCAATGCCAGGAAAAAGCTGTACTGGAAAAATGCCCTGCCAACCAAACTCACATCTTATACAACAATGACACGTGCTTCGTTCGAGCAAGTCCGGGGTTCTTACAGTTGTGGTAGTCATGTCGGGACTGTTAGGAGGCGTTAATCTGACCTCTTTGCTTTTTTAGCTCATTGCAGAAAATGGAGAGGGTGCAGTTTTTATGTCTTTTGTCTCACATTGCAGAAGATCGACACTTGAGGGCTGAAGACAGTGCACAACATTTCCCATATGCCCCTGGATTAGGCAGCAAAGGGAGTAAATTCTTCCCTGTTTACCATATGTTGAGGATAACCTCAAAGAGAAACCATACCCGTTGTTGAATTAGGCAATAACCTAAAAAAAAAAAAACTTTATCTGCAAATGCCTCTTTGATTTAAAGCATTTAACTGTAATCCACTTTCAAGCATGAGGCAACACTGCTTTATTCTTTTTATCATATGAAAGTTTAAGCAGTCAAATAAATGTCAAGTCCAGCTGTTAACAATTATTGGAGTTTGTCTTTGTTGTGTACTACATGTGCAACACATTTAATAACACAATAATCCTGAATCAAATGACCCAGGATGATTGATAGCTGTATGAGATTCATGTTTACTTTTTAACTTTGATGTGGTAACGGAAGGTAGAAAAAAAAAAAAGGAGATTGAATATTACCAGTAAGTGTATTTATCTTTTCCACCAGGACATGCAATTGCTTGCCCTTCATGACCAAATAAAAATTCCACTGTGCTTCTCTTCTTCAAAGAGTTGTATCACTCAGCACTTTCTGAATGATACTGCCGTCCTTTTTATTATTCATTTGGTGATGGAAATCTATTACTTTTGATTGGATGTGTTACATGTTACAGGAAAGGAGTTCTACGGCTCCTTTCGCCTCCTGTGATCAGTTTAGATACAGGAACCATGAGTGAGAAGACTTCAGATTGCAGTCAGGCTCGTAAGGAGCAACAAGCTCACGGCTATGGGTTGGAGCTTGGCCATTTAAGTCTCTAAAAACAAGCAGTACAATCTTAGTAATTCTTAAACCCACAGGCAGCCATTGAGGGTCACTAAGAAAAGATTATATGATCTCTCTCTAAAGGTCCTTACACACCGGGGCCAACGCGAATATAGAACACGAAATTACGAAATATTCTGAGGCGAATTTTGACGCGCCTGACTATACACACAAAGCACGATGCGATTTTGTGACTTTCCGGGGAGGAAAAAGACGCATCCGGGGTGGAAGCGAGAAGACTGACTCAACAGCAGACTGACTGTTTTTCAGTTCTGATTAGACACTAGTGCTGAGATGGCTGTCTGTCATGATAGCATGTACTAAGTCGGGGCCAGTACCAGATAAGAACATTAAACTATAAAATATAAATGTCAGGTAACAACCGGAAGACAGCAACGTGATTGAGTTTGAGACAGTGAAAATACATAAGGTATGTTGTAGCCGAACAGGTTAGCTAACGAGCTAAAGTTACTTAGCACAGATGAAAGTTAAAACAAAGACCTTTATCAAACTGTTAAAGCACACAAACCATCGTCATATGAGAAATTCGATGCTATGACTCTCCACAAGTTGTCCTTCAGGTCGTTATCTTTATAATATTTGTGTTTTTTTATCAAAAAGTATTCTGTTCTCCGACACGTAAACAATCAGCCAGTCGGCCATGTTGGATATACCGTTGAATCTGACGTCGCAACAACACGCAATCTGATTTGTCAGAAGTGGACACACAATATGTGAAACTTTAGAAAATTCGAAACATGATCCAAAAAAATAAATGCCACTATATCGCAGGACAGGAAAACGTCGCTGATGTGAACGCTTGTATTGACAGGATACAGGTTCGAAAAAAAAAATATTGACATCCGAAATAATCCCACGAAAAAAACGGTCCTGGTGTGAAAGGACCTTAAGTGTTAAAAGCTGGGCAGCATTTTGAATCACTTGCAGTTTTTGGATGTTACATCAAGTGTCATTAAATAGTTATATCTAAATGAAGTAAGAACATATATGACTTTTTCTAAGGAATTTGGTTACCTAGGTGACAAAGGAAATGTCAAACTCAAAAATGAGCTCTAGGTTGCTGACCTCTTTGGTGGTGGTGCTGAGCTTTGAAGGGCATAGAACTGGGTGTCATTTGCGGAGCAATGAAAGCCTACATCATGCAATGCCAAAACAGTGAGAGACAGAGAGCAGGTGAGGGAATCAAATGTTATATTTTGTGTCCCCAGGAACTCTTGTTGTTGTTGTTGCAGTGGCAATAAAGCAGGTGTCTGTAATTTTTGTTTTTGCTGTTATTAAATAGATGTCCACAAATTTGGTTCCATGACAATTCTAGTTTAAGTTTTCATATGTTTTGTTTTCCTTACTACTCTCCAGGTACTAGAAGAAAGGATGAAGCTGGAGTGCAAGTGTCATGGCGTCTCGGGCTCCTGCACCACCAAGACTTGTTGGACTACACTCCCCAAATTCCGTGAGATTGGCTACGTACTCAAAGACAAATACAACGAAGCCGTGCATGTGGAGGCAGTCCGGGCAAACCGACTGCGCCAGCCCACCCATCTCAAGGTGAAGCAGACTCAGGGCTATCGCAAGCCCATGGAGACAGACCTCGTCTACATCGAGAGGTCGCCCAACTACTGCGAGGAGGACGCGGCTACAGGGAGTGTGGGCACCCAGGGACGCCTGTGTAACCGCACCTCGCCACATACAGATGGCTGCGACCTTATGTGCTGTGGGCGGGGCTACAATACACACCAGTACACCAAAGTGTGGCAGTGTAATTGTAAGTTCCAGTGGTGCTGCTTCGTCAAGTGCAACACGTGCAGTGAGAGGACTGAGGTGTTTACCTGCAAATAAAGGACACGAGAAACTCAGTGCCAGGAGGTCTGGTGCCAAGGACTAGCTAAGCGAGGAAGACACGGACGAGGGAGACAATAGTGTGATGTGGACCAGCAAATGATTTTGAGACTAAAGAATGGAATTTACACTATCAGCTCTTCAAGGCAATGTTTTGCACAGCAGAATCTATCTAATTTCTTTCAGAAAATAAAAGCTGAGTATCAGTAGATAACACCCCAGAACTTTACTATCACATAGAGATTGTGCTCATGTACTGATTTATCTACCGTGAAGTTGGGACTACAGATAATGAACGAAACTCTTGGTGGGAACTGTGCTTTGCACTCTTGGATTTGTATTTCTAAATTCTCAAGAGACTGGTGCATGGAAAGGGAGTGCAGTAACCTGGGAGTTGATCTAAATGACAGCAGCTGATGAGGTTGTGACTGACAGAGATCGGTCAAGTCTTTGAATGAAAACCTTTAAAGGTTTTGATGTATTTTCACTAAAGTGGAGCAAAGGTGAATCTTGACATGAATGACCTCCAAACTAGCTGGAGCTCATGTTGGATGTTTGTAGAAATGAAGAACATTTTGTAATATTGGTGCGCTTGGGTGCGCCAAGATCTGAGTGGAGAACTCTGTTAAACCCTCTGCTGGCAACTGGAATATGGTGGAGTTTGTTAGCTTTCCAGTCACACTGGAACTGTCTGTTCTGAACACTGAAAATAAATTGTTTATTTATGTTATAGTATCTTAAAACGAAGCACTAACGGGTAGAGATGTCTTTTTTTTGTACTAAGTGTAAAGAAAAATACTTTTTAGAAACTCTGACTGAAATTGTGTGTCTATTAGACAATGACCCCCAGTCCTTTAAACACCAAATTTTTTTTCTTCAAAAGAAAAAAAAGGCTTCTGTGCTACTGGTGTGTGACATCAAAAACATCAATACAGTGTGTTTCACATTAAAACACTTTGGTTCTTTCATTGTAGCATAGATTGTTTCGAGTCCTTTTCCCCTCACGTTGTATCACCTATTTGGATTCTTTTGCAATTTCAGTTTATAGACAGTAGCAAGAAAATGCATTTAACTGCAGAGAACCTTCCTCAATTCATTAAACATTATGTTGCTGGACATGTTGAGTGCTGCACTGATATTTTCTATTCAGCTACAGTTACAAAAACTAAATAAACTCCCGTCTGACTCGGTTTGACGGTGTACTGCTAAAATACTGGTTCTGGTTAAACCTTAAGTCTGGTTTCAGTTTGACTTGACATACCTGTTCATGTATCACAGAAGTAATGGAAGACCATATCAACCCCTGAGTAAATGCCAGGTTTAAAAATCTCACTCTGGGTTTGTTTTTAATGACATAACTGTGGGTTAAAGTCGGACCAACCACATGCTGGGTTGGCTGCTGATTTAAACAAGTGAGCTATGGGAAAAATCGCAGATGCTGATTAATTTAACCTAAGAACTGAGTCCACTCTCCTATTGGATCATTAATGCCATATTTTATTAAACTTAAAGCTCTTATGCGGAGTTGTTTTTTTTATGTTAAGGAAATACACTGAAACTCATATTGGTGTCTTGGTAAACAAAACAAAAAAAAGACCATCAGCAACAAGTCTGATGATTTTGATATTAATAATTTTCAAACCTGAGAGGGAAGGGGTGAGAAGCCGAAGAAACAGTCCTGTTTTTACACTTGCCACATTAAATATTCACAATAAATGATACATTTCAAACTGGAATCACTGTTCTTACACACACACACACACACACACACACACACACACAAAAAAAAAAAGTGTTTTAGTCATTCATATTTGTTTCATCTTTTGATTAATCTTTTGATTATCTCGTAAACTTTTTGTCGTCTTAAATTGGAGCCGTAACATTTGCTGTTGCTTTGGTGCTAATGCTAGTAGCAGCTTAAGATGTTTTGCATTTCTTTAATACATCTATGTTGTGATGATGACTTTTCAAGTGATTCAAAAGACTTGTTGGGTTAAAACTTTGTCTTTTTCCCTTCTATCTGGAGGCGTGAGGCACATGTTTTTTAGATTGTAATGTTAGTGATACCATTTTCACTCTTTCCCTAAATTGCTACAGCTCTTTTCTGGCATAAATGAAATAAGTATTATAATATTTGTACATTCATCATTACCTAACATGTAGGGATCTTAGATTTTGTTCCATGAGTGGCTATATAGTACAGTTAGCATGATGCAAGTGCAGTATTTCAGAACTTGTCCTTTGTTTTGGGGCATAATGGTCATTTGAATTTGGATGCATTTGCATGGATAGAGTATCTGATTTATACAGTGTTTTAAGCATTTAGTCTGACATATTTTTATGGGTTCATTGATATATCACTGACCAAGAAACATTTTCCTAACACAAGAGAAGGCCTACCCTTAAACCGAAGTGAGGCATCCACATTTTTCATTTTATTGCGCAATGCATGTTGGTACAAGAATGTTCTTGTTCAGTGTGCAGTTACCCATGTCAGCTGCTCCAGCAAATATCCAAAGCCATTATTTTCATAAATTTCCTCCCTTTGAAGAAAAACACACACTTTACATCTGGTCATTGTGTGTGTTCAGGTTTGAAGCCAAACTTAATGTGAAAGTCTGTTATTCAAACATTCCAACCACGCTTAATATAGAAACTGCCAAAAGCGTTAGGGTGCATAAATCATTACAGATCAAAAATAAATAAATCAAGCAGTATGCAGACTTTGACGTTATTTTGTACACAGCAGATTTTTGGTAATACGCTGTGGTCTTCTGTCTTGATTGTGGCACGCATGGAGCAGCAGTCAATAATCTCTCCCAGCATGGAAAGGAGCGTCTTCTCCATGTCTGTGTCAAGCAGAGACGTGATCAGGGACACAGAAAGGGAAGGAAAATGCAAGAAGCAACAAGGATTATGGAAAACAGTTATTTTCCATAAAAATTAGAAGCTTAAACCCTCCACGAAATAAATGCACAGTTGCCGTGCAAAAAGTGATTATTCATCAAGATGGAAATGGTTCTTGTTTTAGAATGAAAAGCAACCATGCTTCTCCTTCAGGATAATTGGGACGGTCTGACTTGGGTGGTCAAAGCCACCTGTGACACCCACACAAAGTCTTTACCTCATCACTTTGCATGTTTATTTTGTGTTGTGGTTGGAACTGCAGACAAAATTAGCAATGTATTCTTGAAGGCATTATGTAGTACAATCCATGACACTTGGGATAAATTTCAGAGGGATTTAGGAGGCAGAAGGACAGAATAACTGGCTGCACACTCAAGCCTCTCCTCGTGCTCTCTTGGGCTGGCAGAACCGCTCAGAGTCACTAAATAGGAAGAGGACCTTCATGCAAATGACTCGATGTGAAGAGGAAGTGGCTCAGTGTGCCTCTTGTTTCTGGACACACAAACAAGAGTGTAGTTCTTTTGTGTGGGTGTTTTTGAGATGGATGGGATGGCTTGATGAAACACAGAGGTGCATGTGTAGCCGGAAACTGCAAGTGAAAAGAGTGGTTATTTGGGAGAGGAGCTAATTGAGAGTGGTTTGGAGGAAGAGTTAGTATATATGAGAGGGAGCAGCTGAGCCCTTTAAGGGGCTTATTGCTAATCCCTGTAATAGATATGGTAAAATAGTTTCCAATTTTGGAAAAATTGGACAACTGATTTATCACTTTATTCATATAGCCTTGGAGTTACAAACTCTGCACATTCAATTGAATTTAGAGTGAAATTAGAGACAGAAGTTGGCATATTGTTGTATTGTTTGTGTCAACGATGGATTTCTGAGTTCTAAAATAGTTTCTCTCACACCTAAATGACCATTTTAGACATAGTCCCCCATGATGTTTTAATCTAGATCTTTCTACAAAGTAGCTCAATTTCTGTTTCATTCATTTGGACGCTCCCACTTGTCCTCCTGTATGTGAAAAGCATTGTGGGCGGGCAGCAGAGCAGAAGTAAGTTGTGTTTTGTTAGTAGTCTGAAGCCCTGGGGACCGGAACAACGTAAGCCCCCCATATTTTGATGTAGATTGAGCGAAATAAATCTGTTTGTTTCCGACAAACATTTGATCATTAAAAATACGAGATAGAAAAACAGAACCGACCACGTGCACCTTCCTTTAAAATGATGTTGCTTCATCTGGTTCATCCAGATATATTCTGTAAGCTAATACCTCTGGAAAAGATGCACAAACTTTTCCAATTAATGGCTCAGAGATGGAGATAGAAGGTTAGTTCAGTTTTTGAGGTGAGGTTGTACGGAGTATTTGTTAGTGTACTAGCCACAGGAGATCCTGGTCAGCTCGGCCACTTTGTTGACAACACTGTCTGGGATATCAATCACTGCAGACATGTCAACTCAATGGCACTGTTAACGTACGAAAATGGTGTAAGCAGACAAGAGATTAGATTAGATTTAATAGGACTTTATTGATAGTTCCTTCAGGGACAATAAAAAAAGGGATATATAAGTAAGATCCAGTCTGGTTTTGTGGGAAAACAAATCTAACTGTGTTTCTGCCTGAGGGCTTTAATTATGTTGCACAATGTGCAGTTTTTGTGCTAATGTGGAGTTCTTTCTGGTACCAGCAATCCTAGGGGCATTTGAGCTCAGCCTGCATTGGAGTGATAGCTGTGAGGTAGAGACAGACCCACTGCCTACAACCAGCTCAATAAGAGACCCCTCTTCATATATCACAGAGTTTATTTACCAAGTACTACACTACTGTTTTTGTTTTTTTTTCAAATACAAGATTTATAAACCAATGACGAAGAAAAGTGTTTATAAGTGGTGCTGCTAGACTCTTGTGATGTGTCCTAGGATGTTTTGTGGGTCAAAAGGATGGCTTCGAGCCAAACTGAATCGAAAATTGATTTATTAGTATGTAGGCAAGTGTAATCCAAGCAACTTTTCAGATGGCAAAAAATGCATTTAGAGTATATCTTATTCACGGTAAATAAATGCAGATTTATTCCACAGGAATTTACAGGTAAGCTACATTTGGTTTCCTCAGAGCTTTTGGAAACCAGGGTCCTTCCAGCTCATCCCAAAGATGTTAAAAGACTATGGCACAGCCATGCCTCATTTGAACAGACTGAGGAGAGATGGAAAGAGAACTGGACAGAGCTAGTGCACACAGGTGGTAGCTATCGGTTGCTTCTTTCTGTGGAAACTGTGAAAACAATTCCAAGTAGCATGAAAAAGGTCGTTCTTGCTGAGTGATTTCCTCATTTAACTGACAAAACTTTTTATGATTGGCAATAAAGAGAATTTACTACTTTTTCTCTTCCGTAGGTAATTGGATGGATTGCAGCCAATGGCACAAAGAAAAATACTGAAATACAGAGCATCGCCTTATGCCAAGTACTTCTTCTAATTTCCCTCTGTATCTCGAGGGTGACAAAACCCTCCCGAATTCCTTTGAATTAGTGCCAACATTCTGCCTCTCTCCTTCATTTATAAGCCTGGCATAGTGAGACGGGAACATTCAGATCAGAGGTTCGACCTCTCAGAGATAAGATCCATCTGCAAGCAGGAACAAAGAGTATCAAAACTAAGGTTGCAAACAAATAAATAACAAAAATGAAGACATGAAATTAAAAAATCAAGGAGTCAGAGGTCTCTGGAGCTGACACTTGAGATAATCCAGATACCATGTAAGACGGAAAAGGACTGCTGTCTCCTAGACACCACACCTCAATTGCAAACTTCTCCTCTGTAGAGTAAAGCGATGTTAAACAGTCCCAGGGGTGAAAGATTAGTGCGGGGCAATCCTTTAAGTCTTGTTTGTTATTTCAGGAAGTGAAGGCTTTGGCAAAGGTAACAGAAAAACATGGAAACACTACTGTGCTGAGAGCGTGGCTCAGCAACCCCCGAGGACAAAATGCAATGTAATGTAGTCATGATGAAGCAGGTTTACAAAGTTAAAACTCTCAAAAGCACAATGCAGTGAGCGCCGCCCGCAACACAGCCTGCAGCAATTAGGAAGGTACAGTTGTTTTTTTATTCATGTGATCACTCTGTGTTTTTCTGTGTTCCTTTAACTTTGTTTTGACTGCTTGTCTCAGTGAAAGACCGTCATTTGGAGGTTTTCCTCCTCATCTGCTTGATATTAGTGGTGAGGAACATATGGCCATTCAAAGGCAAAACCCTGTGTGACATCATAGACCACAAGGCAAAGTGGGGATCGTCAAGACCCCAAACTGAGGACTCTGAACGCTACCTGACTGCCTTCATCCGTCTGCAGCTGCATTGTCTCAGTAATGGGCCAGCGTTGGTCTCTGTTTCTGGTGCATGCTTGAGGTTTTTCTGCAGAACTCTGTGTTGTCTCTTCTGCACAGTCAGTTAGGATCTGAGAGGCCTTTGTCAGGATAAGTACAGCGTGATATCAAAACAAGATTCAGAACGCAATAAAGTAAAGCTGAATTAACTGTCAAGATGAATACAATAGATTTAACGTGACGATAAAAACAGGGGATTTCAATGCGAGAGTTTCACAACTCTGCAGTTATCTTAGATCAGACTATAGAGGTTTAAAGCGTCTGCAACAACTCACTAAAAAACGTCAGATACACAGATAGCAAAGAGAGAGTTTTGACGATATATATAGGCAGACAAGACATTAGCCTGGGGAGCAATGACGCCCAATTTGGCATGCACACCTGTTTATGTTGGACTGGAGCACTAAGCAGTGCTTGTAAAATATGAGCAAGGTTAATACTTAT